CTGTGCTCCTCTTTTTGCTGACTTGTTCCTTTATTCATATGAGGCTGATTTCATACAGGAGCTTCTTAGGAAGAATAAAAAGATGGTAGCATTATCCTTTAACTTCACTTTCATGATGTTCTCTCACTAAATAATTCAAAGTTTGATGACTATGTTGAATGCTACTGGGTCGATTACACTGCTGGTGGACGTTTCGTCCCCGAGGGTATCACCAGCCCAGGAGTCAGCACTTCGGTGTTGACATGAATATCAATTATATGGTCATTTTTATAAATTTCCTGTTTACAAAAGCTATGAATTTTTCAAAATACTAAGGATTTTCTTATCCCAGGCATAGCTAGATTTCCTTATCCGTATTTGGCACAACTTTTTGGAATTTTTGGTCCTCAATGCTCTTCAACTTTGTACTTGTTTGGCTTTATAACTATTTTGATGTGAGCGTCATTGATGAGTCTTATGTAGACGAAACGAGCGTTTGGCGTATTAAATTATAAGCCTGGTACCTTTGATAACTATTTACACCACTGGGTCGATGCCACTGCTGGTGGACGTTTCGTCCCCGAGGGTATCACCAGCCCAGTATAGTCAGCACTTCGGTGTTGACATGAATATCAATTATATGATCATTTTTATAAGTTTCCTGCTTACAAAAGGATGAATTTTTCAAAATACTAAGGATTTTCTTAACTATCCCATCAAACTTGAGGTAAAGGATACAACAGATACAGTTAAGTCTGTCTCATATCTTGACTTACATCTAGAAATTGACAATGAAAGTCGGTGGAAAATAAAACTCTATGACAAAAGGGATTATTTCAGCCTCCCAATTTTGAACTTTCTTTTCTATGTAGCAACATTCCAGCAGCGCCTGCATATGAAGTATATATCCCTCAGTTGTCAATATAACAGGGCTTGCATGCATTTCCTATCATGATTTTCTTGATAGCAAATTGCTGTTTACATGGAAGCTATTAAACTAAGAGTTCCAAGTGGTGAAATTGAAAAGATCCCTTCGTAAAATTTACAGACGCCATCAAGAGTTGATTGACCGTTATGGAATATCCATTTCACAGATGACGACGGATATATTCCAATTGTCGTAACCACAATCCCGTCATGTGACCTACCGAATAGACTTATCACCGGATTTGTACTTACATGAACAACACAACGGGTGCCACATGTGGAGCAGGATCTGCTTACCCTTCCGGAGCACCCGAGATCACCCCCGGTTTTTGGTGGGGTTCGTGCTGCTCAGTCTTTAGTTTTCTATGTTGTGTTTTGTGTATTGTTGTTTGTCTTTTGGTCCTTTTCTTTTATTTTCAACTTCATTGTTTGATATTTGATGCGTTTCCATCAGTTTTAGTTTGTAACCCGGATTTGTTTTTATCTCTATCAATTTATGAGTTTTCGAACAGCGGTATACTACTGTTGCCTTTATTTGAATGTCCCTATGGTATCTTTCGCCTCTCTGGCGTACACAATTATGTCTTGTATCTTTCATGACTTTTTACAGACATGGAGATTTTTATAATTTATGGCATTAAAGCAATATAATAGGGGGATAAACACAACATTTTATTGCAGTTTGTTCAGGTTGAGTTTTATAATTTTACTTTTTGTTTCAAGCACATCAGATAATTGTAACCTAAACTATTGATTACTTAAGATGCTTATTGCACTGATTATACAAATAAAATATAGACAGATTTTATCTTTTGTCTTTTCTTTTGAAAAAAAAAAGATCTTGTTAATCCTTTAACATTCATCTTTAAAATATAATTCACAGAATAATTTTACGTAGTGTAAATCAAAAGTAATCGGTAAATGATAAACATTTATCATTTCTGTACATATATATATATATATATATATATATCAAACATATGACATTATATTGAGGTCAATTGTTTTGTAATTAGTTGTGTGCGTATTGAGTTGAATAATAAAGTGTACGCTTAAATATGCAAGACTTACTTAGGTTATTAGTTCGATGATTAGCATTTAAGATTTAGGCATTACGATTAAAGCTCCACCTTGACTCTTATCAGTTTGTTGATCATTGAAATTGTCTCATATTTATATTGTATTAGTACTCTTAATTACCTAATAAAAATTACCAAACTAGCCTGCGAATGAACATAAACTGTTATCACAGAGATATGTCTCGCATTTTTGTAATTTTGATAATGCAAATGTTGAAACTAAAATAGCAATACTTTAACATGTAAGTTATGCAAATATTCAAAGTCGATGAACCATGACTGAAAGTACATGGCTAAACAATCTCCATGGAATGAGATGTGCCAATGCTAACACAACTGCATACCAAATACCATTGACTTATTATAAGTTGTTCCCTTTTAACAAACCTAAACACAAACATTAACTTGTAAACAATGTAAAAGTTTCAAAGTCAATGAACCAGGATCAGGGATGGGGCTATATAATCTCCATGGAAACGATACTTGCAAATGCCAATACATTTGCATACCAAATATCATTGACTTAACATTAGCAGTTCATCTTAAACTGATCTAATCACAAACTAATACATGTAAACTAAGCAAAAGTTTCAAAGTAAATAGACCATGACTGAGGGGGCGGGGCCAAATATTCTCCATGGAAATGAGATGTGCTAATGCTTATACAACTGAACACCAAGTAACATTGCCTACCACTAATGGTTCCCCTTGAACTGACCTAAGCACAAACTAATACATGTTAACTTAGCAAAATTTTCAAAGTCTACAGACCATGACTAAGGGGACGGAGCCAAATAATCTCCATGGAAATGAGATATGCCAATGCTTATATAACTGCATACCAAATATCATTGACCTACCACTAGTGGTTCCCCATAAATTGACCTAATCACAAACTAATACATGTAAACTATGAAAAGTTTCAAAGTCAATAAACCTGGACTTAATACATTGTTGACGCCACCACCACCGCCGCCGCCGAAACCGGAAACAGCATACCTATGTCTCGCTTTTTGACTCCGTCAAGGCAAGACAAAAATTAAAAATACATACTTGAATGAACTGCTCTAAAGATATAACCCATTTTTTTTCACAGTACATGTCTGCATATGGGAATTATTGGGCACTATATTTCAGTGTGTAATGATTTAATAGCTAACCTGGTTACATTATGTTAGTGAGGCTTCTACTTTAGGAAGGAATTGTAATTTGTTTAGGTTCCTTTTAGCCATAAAGCTCTTTACTTGTTTATATGTTGGCTTTCAAATGTTTGAGTTTGAGCATTCCCGATGAAGATTAATCCAGAAAAGGACTTCGGACGTACAAAATTAATAGTGTTAATTCCATTTTGTAACTAATTCCAATTTTTCCAAACAATGAAATTCTGCACAGAGTAATTAACTAGTGGAATATAATGATTATATTATTCATTTAAGACAGGTTAGATTACCAATACTTGAAACAATACATTTCTCGTCAGAAATAGATCTTTCAGATGCAAAATAGTCATCATTAAATTAATAATGACACCACTATAAAAAAACCTCTCTTTTTTAGCTTGGAGTTGACTGCTGTATTGAAGATGTATGGTTGCAATGCAAGTATGGACACTACATTCAAGCTAGATACAGCACTGAATTTGGATTGTGATTAAATATTTGACACAGCATAGGTTTCTGACACAGAATGAATGTGATCTAAGAACTTTAAAATTTTTAATTTACCTATTGAAACTATATCATTATTATTTGCTTTTATATATAAATCAGAAATAACCAATTTAAAATGGAAAATTTTAAAGAAAAAAAGTAAAAAAACGGAAAAAAAATCCCCCCAAAAATTTTTTGAACCCCCTTATGATTCATCATCCCCAAACTCAATCCCAGCCTTCCCTTTGTGGTATGGTATCTTGTAGTACAATTTCAGAGAGATCCATACACTTTAACACAAGTTATTGTCAGGAAACTAGAAAAATGCTTGTTTTGTGGCCCCTTTTTTGCCCCAAATTTCTAAACGTTTAGGGCAATTAACCCCAAACTCAAACCCAGCTTTCCCTTTGTGATATGGAACCTTGTTGTACAATTTCATAAAGATCCATACACTTACACACAAGTTATTGTCCTGCAACTAGAAAAATGCTTGTTTTTTGCCCCTTTTTTGCCCCTAATTCCTAAAATTTTGAGGCAATTACCCCTAAAATCAATCCCAGCCTTCATTTTGTGGTATGGTACCTTGCAGTATAATTTCAGAGAGATCCATTCACTTGAACACAAGTTATTGTCTGGAAACTAGAAAAATGCTTATTTTTGGCCCTTTTTGCCCCCCAATTCCTAAACGTTATGGGCAATTACCCCAAAACTCAATTCCAGCTTTCCCGTTGTGATATGGAACCTTGTAGTACAATTTCATAAAGATCCATACACTTACACACAAGTTATTGTCATGAAACTAGAAAAATGCTAGTTTTTTGCCCCTTTTTGGCCCCTAATTCCTAAAATTTTGAGGCAATTACCCCCAAAAATCAATCCCAGCATTCCCTTTGTGATATGGAACCTTGTGGTACAATGTCAGAGAGATCCATACACTAACACACAAGTTATGTCTGGAAGTTACAAAAATGCTTATTTTTGGCCCCTTTTTGGCCCCTTATTCCTTAACTGTTGGTACCATAACCCCCAAAATCAATCCGCACCTTCCTTTTGAAAATCAATCCGCACCTTCCTTTTCAGGTATTGAACCTTATGGTAAAATTTCATAGAGATCCATTCGCTTAAACTAAAGTTAGAGTGCGAAAACCAATGTGTCTTCGGACGATGATGACGACACCAACGTCATACCAATATACGACCACAAAAATTTTTTGCGGTGGTATAAAAATTAATAATGCGAGTTTAAATTATTGCGATTAAAACCTGTCGCATTTTTCGCAATAATAAAAACATTGCAATAATTTCTGAATTTACAGTAACATGTAGTTTCTATTTCAATCAAATAGTTTGAATTACAAGCCTAGTATTTTGATGAATTTTTTTATTGAAGATTAAATAATTTCTTCACATTAAATGATGTCTGATGAGAAGGCAACTAAATTTACTGTCAGCTGTTCCACCATGATAGAAGTCCAAGGCCAGGTTCTGATATTGATCCCTGAAAACAAAAATGTAAATTAACTGTCAAGAAAACACACCTTTTCAGACAAATTGGACTTAACTCTATATGTCTCACATCTTCGCTAGCCAAGGGTTACGATTCACTTCCCTCCTCTCCACCCTTGGCAGATTAAGCCAACATTTGTGATAACAATGTTGCGCCATCTATCGGTAGATTAAAGTCACGCCCATTCCTAATACATTATTCTTGACCAATGGTAGCACTCGAACTCTTCAATTTGGAGGTAAAAACACGGTAGCGTCTAGATTCTACACACTTGGCACAGCAGGAAACGAAAATATAAGTTCACATTAATGCATTTGTGCAAGTAACATACACAGGAACTTCTATTAGTTGATTAAAAACATTAAAATTGTCACTAAATATAGTCTTATGTTTAGGATTGTAAAGACTTGTTGCACAATAAGCATGTGGCAATTGTTTACATACACTTTCTACATTTACTTGTGATCATGTTATAGGCGCTTTTTGATTGGATGCAGTGAGTTTCAACTGCAACCAATGAAAATCATTACCTTGTGTCTCCGAAATTCTATCTCAATCCGCCAAGGGTGGAGAGGAGGGAAGTGGATCGTAACCCTTGGCTAGCGAAGATGCATGTCTCAAGATTTAGGTCTGATTTTTATACGACCGCAAAAATTGAAAATTTTTTGGTCGTATATTGGTATGACGTTGGCGTCGTCGTCGTCGTCGTCGTCGTCGTCGCCGTCGTCTGGCGTCGTCCGGCGTCGTCCGAAGACACATTGGTTTTCGCACTCTAACTTTAGTTTAAGTGAATGGATCTCCATGAAATTTTACCATAAGGTTCAATACCACGAAAGGAAGGTGGGGATTGATTTTGGGGGTTATGGTACCAACAGTTAAGGAATTAGGGGCCAAAAAGGGGCCAAAAATAAGCATTTTTGTAACTTCCAGACAATAACTTGTGTGTAAGTGTATGGATCTCTCTGACATTGTACCACAAGGTTCCATATCACAAAGGGAAGGCTGTAATTGATTTTGGGGGTAATTGCCTCAAAATTTTAGGAATTAGGGGCCAAAAAAGGGGCAAAAAACAAGCATTTTTCTAGTTTCATGACAATAACTTGTGTGTAAGTGTTTGGATATTTCTGAAATTGTACTACAAGGTTCCATATCACAAAGGGAAAGCTGGAATTGAGTTTGGGGGTAATTGCCCGAAACGTTTAGGAATTGGGGGCCAAAAAGGGGCCAAAAATAAGCATTTTTCTAGTTTCCAGACAATAACTTGTGTTCAAGTGTATGGATCTCTCTGAAATTGTACTGCAAGGTACCATACCACAAAGGGAAGGCTGGGATTGAGTTTGGGGGTGATGAATCATAAGGGGGTTCAAAAAATTTGGGGGGGGGAATTTTTTTTTTCTTTTTTTTTTCTTTTTTTCCTTTTTTTTTTCTTTTAAAATTTTCCATTTTAAGTTGGTTATTTCTGATTAATATTTAAAAGCAAATAATAATGATATGGTAGGAGATACACACCAAACAGGATGTGTAAATTATTATATAATAAGTATTGTGCAATAGCAAGAAATTTTCAATTGCACAGTATTGCACAATTGCAAGAAATCTTCAATTGCACAGTATTGCGCAATAGCAAGAAATCTTCAATTGCACAGTATTGCGCAATAGCAAGAAATATCCAATAGCACAATATTGCGCAATAGCAAGAAATTGTCAATTGTACAGTATTGCACAATAGCAAGAAATATTCAATTGCACAGTATTGTGCAAAAGAAGATACTTCGTATAAATTGCTTATTTCTTGATCAATTTCAATGGGGTTTTATTCTTGAATTCTTGGGGTTCTTTAATATGCTGAATCTAACCGTGTATTAAGTTTTTGGATTTTGGGCCCCGTTTTTAAATTGGTCCACATTGAGGTCCAAAGGGTCCAAAATTTAACTTTGTTTGATTTCATCAAAAATTGAATTATTGGGGTTCTTTGATATGCCGAATCTAACCGTGTATTTAGATTCTTAATTTTTGGTTCCGTTTTCAAATTGGTCTACATTAAGGTCAAAAGGGTCCAAAATTAAACTTAGTTTGATTTTAACAAAAATTGAATTTTTAGGGTACTTTGATATGCTGAATCTAAAATGTATTTCGATTTTTGATTATGGGCCCAGTTTTCAAGTTGGTCCAAATCGGGGTCCAAAATTAAACTTTGTTTGATTTCAACAAAAATTGAATATATGGGGTTCTTTGATATGCTGAATCTAACCATGTATTTAGATTTTTGATTTTTGGGCCCCGTTATCAACTTTGTCCACATTGAGGTCAAAAGGGTCCAAAATTAAACTTTGTTTGATTTCATCAAAAATTGAATTCTTGGGGTTCTTTGATATGCTGAATCTAACCATGTATTTAGATTTTTTATTTGTGGACCCGCTATCAAATTGGTTCATATTGAGGTCAAAAGGGTCCAAAATTAAACTTTGTTTGATTTCATCAAAAATTGAATTATTGGGGTTCTTTGATATGCCAAATCTAACCGTGTATTTAGATTTTTAATTTTGGGTCCCGTTTTTAAATTGGTCTACATTAAGGTCCAAAGGGTCCAAAATTAAACTTAGTTTGATTTTAACAAAAATTGAATTCTTGGGGTTCTTTGATATGCTGAATCTAAACATGTGATTAGATTTTTGATTATGGGCCCAGTTTTCAAGTTGGTCCAAGTTGGGGTCCAAAATTAAACTTTGTTTGATTTCAACAAAAATTGAATATATGGGGTTCTTTGATATGCTGAATCTAAACATGTATTTAGATTTTAGATGTTTGGCCCAGTTTTCAAGTTGGTCCAAATTGGGGTCCAAAATTAAACTTTGTTTGATTTCAACAAAAATTGAATATATGGGGTTCTTTGATATGCTGAATCTTACCATGTATTTAGATTTTTTATTTGTGGGCCCGCTATCAAATTGGTTCATATTGAGGTCAAAAGGGTCCAAAATTAAACTTTGTTTGATTTCATCAAAAATTGAATTATTGGGGTTCTTTGATATGCCAAATCTAACCGTGTATTTAGATTTTTAATTCTGGGTCCCGTTTTTTAAATTGGTCTACATTAAGGTCCAAAGGGTCCAAAATTAAACTTAGTTTGATTTTAACAAAAATTGAATTTTTGGGGTTCTTTGATATGCTGAATCTAAAACATGTGTTTAGATTTTTGATTATGGGACCAGTTTTCAAGTTGGTCCAAGTTGGGGTCCAAAATTAAACTTTGTTTGATTTCAACAAAAATTGAATATATGGGGTTCTTTGATATGCTGAATCTAAACATGTATTTAGATTTTAGATTTTTGGTCCAGTTTTCAAGTTGGTCCAAATTGGGGTCCAAAATTAAACTTTGTTTGATTTCAACAAAAATTGAATATATGGGGTTCTTTGATATGCTGAATCTTACCATGTATTTAGATTTTTTATTTTGTAGTCCTGCTATCAAATTGGTTCATATTGAGGTCAAAAGGGTCCAAAATTAAACTTTGTTTGATTTCATCAAAAATTGAATTATTGGGGTTCTTTGATATGCCAAATCTAACCGTGTTTTTAGATTCTTAATTTTTGGTTCCGTTTTCAAATTGGTCTACATTAAGGTCCAAAGGGTCCAAAATTAAACTTAGTTTGATTTTAACAAAAATTGAATTCTTGGGGTTCTTTGATATGCTGAATCTAAACATGTGTTTAGATTTTTGATTATGGGCCCAGTTTTCAAGTTGGTCCAAGTTGGGGTCCAAAATTAAACTTTGTTTGATTTCAACAAAAATTGAATATGTGGGGTTCTTTGATATGCTGAATCTAAACATGTATTTAGATTTTAGATGTTTGGCCCAGTTTTCAAGTTGGTCCAAATTGGGGTCCAAAATTAAACTTTGTTTGATTTCAACAAAAATTGAATATATGGGGTTCTTTGATATGCTGAATCTTACCATGTATTTAGATTTTTTATTTTGTAGGCCTGCTATCAAAGTGGTTCATATTGAGGTCAAAAGGGTCCAAAATTAAACTTTGTTTGATTTCATCAAAAATTGAATTATTGGGGTTCTTTGATATGCCAAATCTAACCGTGTTTTTAGATTTTTAATTTTGGGTCCCGTTTTTTAAATTGGTCTACATTAAGGTCCAAAGGGTCCAAAATTAAAATTAGTTTGATTTTAACAAAAATTGAATTCTTGGGGTACTTTGATATGCTGAATCTAAACATGTGTTTAGATTTTTGATTATGGGACCAGTTTTCAAGTTTGTCCAAGTTGGGGTCCAAAATTAAACTTTGTTTGATTTCAACAAAAATTGAATATATGGGGTTCTTTGATATGCTGAATCTAACCATGTATTTTGATTTTGGACATTGGACCATAATAGGTAAATTAAAAAAATTGAAGTTCTTAGACCACATTCTTTCTGTGTCAGAAACCTATGCTGTGTCAAATATTTAATCACAATCCAAATTCAGAGCTGTATCAAGCTTGAATGTTGTGTCCATACTTGCCCCAACTGTTCAGGGTTCGACCTCTGCGGTCGTATCAAGCTGCGCCCAGCGAAGCATTTTATTTATTTTGATTTTTGGTGTTTTAACGACACTTTTAAGCACCGCTTTTGGGCTATTTTCGTGGCGGCCAGTTTTTAATGGTGGAGGAAGCCAGAGTGCCCGGAGAAAACCACCGACCTTCGATGGGAAAACTGACAATCCTAGTCAATTAAGATTAGAGTCAAGTGCACCCAGACAAGCAGGGTTTGAACTCACAACCTCAGTGTTGACTGGCTAGTGATTACAGTAGTAACTACATAAACCACTCGGCCACCGAGGCCCCCAGATTTAGGTCTGAATTATGATGCCTTTGAACAATAAACATAATAAAAAAATTTCACCTATGATGCTAACAACTTCAGGAAATCATGTCTAAGTCATGAGTTTTATAACTTAGAAAAAAAATACCCTAAGAGAATAATTTGGCTAAAAGTATATTCCTACATTTTATATATTCTGCTCTGCAGCCAAACTTGGTTAAACTTTAGCAAGAAATGTGAGTTCTGAAATCAATATTGATCATATATTTCTATAATATTAATTTTTCTAATTCTTTTTTTTTTTGTGTTTTGAGTCTACTCACAAGGATGGTATTTTGGTCCTTGGTCCTGATATCAACTTCATTTTTTCAAGATGAAAATTTAACACCACCAAAAAGGCCAAAAAATTGGGATTTTGGTGAAATTTTACAAAATCTTCTGGATTTCAACCAAATTTAGCCCTGAGAAACATACAGTGCAAGCCAGGTTCAACAAAATTAATATTCAAGTCAGATCTGTCATTTGTTATAACAAACATAATATTCCAAAATCTTTTTAATCAACCCATGTGTATAATAGGTTCCCTGTCTGGAAATTCGTCTGTTTTCATTGAATATGATGGAAATTTGGAATTGATGTTACCTGTCACATAAAATAAATGCTAATACATAAACTCTCCATAATAGACATATTTTCTATCTTTTCGTTGTGATAATAGCCATCAAATCCAAACTCATTTGAAATATTTTAGCTAGAAAAAGGAGCAATATAAGGGCCTTTTTGAACCTTCTCCTTTAATTCCGCAAAACAAATCATTATGATTATACTTTAGGAAAAAATATTTGTTGGTGTTCATGCATATGATACAAAAGTTACGTACTACAATTGTGTATGGGGATTTCTTTGATTCAGGATCAGGATTATCACTGGTTTCAACACTGGTACCATCTGGTCCTGTAGGTGTGGTATCTACGAAGGTTTCATCAACAACACGGAATCTTTAGAAAAAAATCATACTGTATACAATTAAGAAGCAATTATTAACTTGACAATTTGCTACAAAGTTTCTTAAAATCAAAAAAAAGCTAATCTCTTTAATTGAGACAATTCATTGTTACTAAGGGGTCACATAATGCAAATACAACTAAAGTAAAAACACTGTATACATGATGACAGCATACAAAATATTTGTTGTGTTTTAAACAAATTGTGCTCATGCAGTGATGCTAATACAATCATATTACTGGCAATTAATTTTAGTGTATATTGCTATATAAGTAATCTAGTAATTTAACAAATCTGGGAGATAGTAAGAATAATCTGCTGATTCAAGAAAATTCAAAATCAGCTGCTGATATTACTAGCCTGGGCTGTCGACTCCCATTTATTTTTATTTTCATGATGCCCATTTAAAACCACTAGCAAGTTATTGTTGATGAGCTCATTAAGAAGACATCTTGACAAGCTAAAGGACCATTAGAAAATAGTACTAAGAGTCACAGGTATAGAGAAAGATATATAACACATCACCTTCCATCAAAAATTAAACATTCTGCCTATACATGTACTAATATTTCAAAGTTATTCGGTCTTATTTCTTTCAATACCAATGTAAAATTTAGAACTTTTGGTGCTTAAATTGACAAACTTTCCTAAGCAACAAAATATCAAATCCCATGTTTTACTGATAGAAAACTATGAGTAAAGACTCCAAGGAGTTTCCTTTTATATATTATAGTTTTCAAGATAGTTTTTAGATAAGTTACAAAATGTGGACTTTTCATACTGAAAACTATGAGTAAAGACTCCAAGGAGTTTCCTTTTATATATTATAGTTTTCAAGATAGTTTTTAGATAAGTTACAAAATGTGGACTTTTCATACTGAAATTCAGCTGAAATTTTTGCATAATGAACTAATACTGGTATTCTCTCTTCCTCTGACAATGCATTTTCAATTTCAAGTTGACAGGTATGAAAAGTTGACTTCAACTTTATCATTATGAACCATTGTTTCAGTACCTTCCATGAAAGCAGCAACACTCTTATAAACAGAATAATGATAGGAAATGAAAACTCTAGAATAACATATATGCAGGAGCTGCTGGAATTTTTCTACACAGAAATGGAAAGTTCGCAATAAGAAAATTGAAATCATCTCTTTTTTTCATCTTGAAACAATAAAACTTAAACTAGAGAAAGATGGACAAGCATAAGAATGACAAGGAATAAAAGTAACTGTCTCAAGTTTATCAGTATAATATCCTGACCTGATCTCTTCACCAATATCCATGAAAAGATCATGTTTTTCTTCATCCACTTCATAGCTCCATGCCCAGAGTTGTTCTTTATCATCACTGCATGTGTTAAAGATTCAAATATATGCATAGATCATGGCATTTTAGTCATGTAGGACTTCTGTTTCTTTAAATTAAAAAAATGAACAAAAAAATAACACAATGGTCACTAAATGAATTCATTATCAGATATGGATCAAGATAATGTTTTTTTGTGTGCACTTATTTTCACAAATTTGGGTTTTCCGATGAATAAGCATCTATTTAATTTTGTGTAAATTCAAAAAAAAAAATTTCATTTTCTTAAATTCTTCATTTGCTCTCAGATCAGTATTGCTGTTTACAAAATGTCACAATGATTATTTCAATTATCATTTCAATTATCAAAATAGTCATCTGCTAGAGGTATTGCACAATTAAGTTGTTAATTACAAAATAAAGCTGTCACATTTGTTGGCTTTGGTAAAAGTTTATTTTTTGTTGTTATGTTTAAAAATTGTTTTTTTTGTATTGATTACAGATGTTGTTTTAATGGTTTCACAGTCCAATATAAGTTATATCAAATAAAAATACATTTACCATGTGTACAGTAACAAACACAGGTGATGTTATTCAAGAAAATAAAAATGCATTTAAAAATTTTCAACACACTTTTGTTGATAACTATATTAGGATACAATCTTGAAGGGTGCTGCATGGCATCTGCAGGTATTAATATATCATCAAAGAAACCCATAGAAACTGAAAGAAAAAAAAAGGCAACACATATTGAAGAAAAATATAAGAAGTTATCAAATCTCGTAATATCATGTGACCATATAAGTATTAAATGCATGCAAGGCCAAAAAAAATAATACATGTGTTTCCGCTAACCCTACCTACCCTAATTTTTAGTGCCTACCCTAACACTTTTTATGCCATTTTGGAACAAGCACTGTTAAAGTCAGACAGATTCCCTAGTAGTAACCAGCTAAAAAATGCTTGTAAAATAAAATAATATTGCCTACCTACCTACCCTACTTGTTTTCAGCACGTTAGCGGAAACACATGTATTATTTTTTTTGGCCTAACTTGTAATAAATCTTAAATTTATTTAGAATTGTTTATCTTGAACTTGTATTATACTGAAAACAGAAGTTAATTAAAAGATAAACTGGTAATTCCTTTGGTGATGGAACATCCACCAACTGTGATATTTAGACACAATTCTATACATATACAACATTTCAATCTCTAAATTAATCTTGAAAAGTTTTGATTAGATTTAGCTGTGACTCTCAAGGATATGCAATCAACATTAAAAATCATAAAAACAAGGTGAACTGTGAGCTATTGCTGCCCCTGCTATATTAAAGTATTCTGTTAACAGGAAGTTGATAATAAATGGATATCATGAAAATGCATCACATAGTATACCATACCCTCCCTCTTAATTCTCATGACATAAAAATTTTGCAATATTTCTTCATTCACTTGTAAAACAGGTAAACAAATATAAACTAATAATTTTGACTTATAAATATGAATATAAACTTTAAATCAAGAATCTTCATAAAACAATACATAAATAATTGGAGAATGTGTCATGATGCCCCGCTTGAATATAACATTATAAAGGGGCATAACTCGAGAATTGTAAAAGTGACGCCACGCAAACTTGATCTGAATAGTGTGGTAATAAGCATTGTGTATAAGTTTCATATCATTTGGTTGAGGCAAACAAAAGTTAGAGAATGGAAACTAATTTTGGGATGTAAGTACGTACGAACAGACAAGGGTAACACTTAATGCCCCCTCCTGTGACAGAGGGGGCATAAATACAAAAGACCAAGCAACACAAACCCCAACAAAACCTAGGGTTGATGTCAGATTCTCTGGAATGGTAAGCAGATCCTCCTCCACATGTGACATCAGTCTTGTTAAAAAAAATTGATACTTAAGTAATATCAAGTGATTACGGTAGGCATCACAAAATTGTGGATTGGTAATTGACTCTTTAATTAACCCCAAGAAATCTCCAAACTTGTAAACTATTAGTCATGTAAATTTTCAAGCCCTAAAACTTTAACAAATGTGAAAATTTGAAATAGAAAAACATAACATATGTCTATTAATAGAAGCTTACCATACACTCCTTCTTTACTACAACTTTTAGTTTTACCAGTCAATACTTCGTCAACAAATGGTCTGTACACTATATATCTGAAATGGACTGTTTGGAAGCAAAGAATTCAATATGTTTATTTTTAATTTTTTATATACCTCTTTATGTTACTGTTTACATTGATTTACAATATTAACTACAACACAACTAAGGATGCAAACTATCACTTTGATTGGTTGATTGGTGTCATCATATTCATCCTTGAAGGCTTTATCAGGACAGTTTTACAAAGGTTTTTCATGAGCTAAAGTGGAATTTAGTTTGAACAAATTTTATTTGCTTAAATATGCAAAAGGCAAAAGAAAGGGATGAGACACAAGTTTATAGTCAAACTTTAAAAGTCTTATCCCACGAACAATTTGTAAATCTAGAAAATAAACAAAGGATGTTTACAATACATAACAGATATATATATTATATAAATAACACATAGCTGAGAGAGTGATAGAGCAGATTGTTACCCAGAGAAAACATTGTATTCTGAGTCGAAGCAAGTGAATCAAGTATAATTTCATAAATTTTGATCTAAAACAGGACTAATTTGATAAAAGCCACGGAAAAATTCTGGACACTTAGCTTAACCATGTCATTTGCAAAACTATTTACCATGACAAATTAAGATATTTTGCTTTACTTGCAATTAATTTCTACAATTGCAACATCATTGTCGAAAGTTTGACCTGATTTATTGATATAAACATCTTATTAGTATTTTATTTACTCTTTTGTGAAAACTGAGACAATAAGTCATGACCAACTGCACCAAATAATGACAAAATCTCTGCATTTAATATTCCCTGGTATGACAAAGCTACAACCACAATGTGATTATTGGTCAATGAATAATAATTTCTTTAGTAATGATTCAATGCTTTACCTATTGAATGTGAAGCTCCATCACCTGGGAAAATAAAACTGTCCTCTATCTTGGTGATATCCCACAATGCAATGCACAGTCCAACATTATGTACTACCTTCAACGTATAAAAAGATAAATTCATAAACAATATCTTTTGTATTTATTTGAAGAGATTTAATTTTATGGTCATTAGTTTAATTTTTTAAGGAAACAAGAGCGTGTACTGAGTCTGACCTAATGTGAAAAATGTAATTTCTTTTAATATTCCATGTTCAGTCTAATTTTTCTTCAATTTCATTGTTTTAGAAATGTTTGATGTTGAAAGTCTAACACATTAAAAAAGAATATTTTAAATGACTGCATATAACTAAATTTGATTCTGATGGTAATATACTGATGTGTAGCTAAGCCCTTGATATCCTGAAAGTCTCACTGCCTTGGTGTTTTTAAAAACATTAAAATTAAGAAATATGTGTTGCCTGTATATTAGTTTGATAGTAAAATATTCAAGGTCAATTAATCATAACATAAAATTGAGAATGGATATGGGGAATGAGTCAAAGAGACAACAACCCGACCAAAGAGCAGAAAACAGCCGAAGGCCACCAAAGGGTCTTCAACAAAGTAAGAAAATCCCAAACCTGGAGGCGGGTTTTAGCTGGCCCCTAGACAAAAATATATACTGGTTCAGAGAAAATGTAGTCACACTAAACTCCGAAACATATAATTGAACCAAAATTAAAAAAAACATACAAGACTAACAAAGGCCAGAGGTTCCTGACTTGGGACAGGCGCAAAAATACCGGGGGATTAAACATGTTTTGTGAGATCTCAACCCTCCCCCTATAACTCTAGCCAATGTAGAACCAGGTAAAATACAAGAAGAACTATCAAATGGGAGAAAAGACAAACATCGATTGTTCTCTGTCTGTCATTCTTGTTTTTCAATTATTGTTTTTATCTATTGTTTATTGGTTTTCTCTTTGGAATTCATTTTTACCCTATGTCATCTTAATGCCTTGCATAGCTTACAATTAGCCTATAGTTAAACATGTTAAAGGCAGAGTGTATGTATGGAAATAAATGATCAACGAACTGCTGATGATTTTCTAAACATTGCTAGTCTGTATATAAACCCTGCACACTGTTGAGTTCAATTACCTTATTGGCAAATTTTTTGTTCAAAGCTTCTATTACTGCATCATTGAATTTAATATTGAATAGCCATGGTGGGATCCTCACAGTATCTTTCATTTCTACCAACACAAACATTATCAGGATTTTTCTTGGTTACATCTTTTGTCTAAAATATAAAAGGTGACTGATTTATATAACTATATTTCAATGATAAGAATGATACACAATCTAATTAAAATTAGTTCTCCACACTTGCTCCTTATTTTCGTTCAGTTGTTTATATGTCACATGTGGGAATGTATACAGAGTTTTTACTTTAGTTGACCCTAGACATGACCCTCAAGCAGCTGTAGTTAGATCTCCCACACGCAACATATCAACAACCGAATAATAAAATGCTCCGCTGGGCGCAGCTTGATACGACCGCAGAGTTTGAACCCTGAACAGTTGGGGCAAGTATGGACACAACATTCAAGCTTGATACAGCACTGAATTTGGATTGTGATTAAATATTTGACACAGCATAGGTTTCTGACACAGAATGAACAATGAATAAGTTTTTAGGCCCCTTTTTGGCCCTAAATTCCTAAACATTTCGGGCAATTACCCCCAAACTCAAACCCAGCTTTCCCTTTGTGATATGGAACCTTGTAGTACAATTTCATAAAGACCCATACACTTACACACAAGTTACTGTCCTGAAACTAGAAAAATGCTTGTTTTTTGCCCCTTTTTGGCCCCTAATTCCCAAAATTTTTAGGCAATTACTCCCAAAATCAATCCCAGCATTCCCTTTGTAGTATGGTACCTTGCAGTACAATTTCAGAGAGATCCATACACTTGAACACAAGTTATTGTCTTGAAACTAGAAAAATGCTTATTTTTGGCCCCTTTTTGGCCCCTTATTCGTAAATGTTTTGGGCTATTACCCCCAAACTCAATTCCAGCTTTCCCTTTGTGATATGGAACCTTGAAGTACAATTTCAGAAAGATCCATACACTTACACACAAGTTATTGTCATGAAACTAGAAAAATGCTTGTTTTTTGCCCCTTTTTTTGCCCCTAATTCCTAAAATGTTGAGGCAATTACCCCAAAAATCAATCCCAGCATTCCCTTTGTGATATGGAACCTTGTGGTACAATGTCAGAGTGATCCATACACTAACACACAAGTTATGTCTGGAAGTTACAAAAATGCTTATTTTTGGCCCCTTTTTGGCCCCTAATTCCTAAACTGTTGGTACCATAACCCCCAAAATCAATCCCAACCTTCCTTTTGTGGTATTGAACCTTATGGTAAAATTTCATAGAGATCCATTCACTTAAACTAAAGTTAGAGTGCGAAAACCAATGTGTCTTCGGATGACGACGCCGGAAGACGATGACGCCAACTTCATACCAATATTATATACGACCGCAAAATTTTTTTGCGGTCGTATAAAAATTAGAGGCAAGTGCGGAGAACTAATTTTAATTAGATTTTGGAATGATACCCAGATTTGATACAATACATAACTATCTAGGCTCCATTGATCCTGAATCTCTCCTCTAGGACACATGGGAACGCTCTTTGAGAATACTGACCTGAGAATTTGCGACATTTGAAATTTTTACATCATACAACAATCACTTTTCCTTTGTGGTGTCAAAACTTTACAGGGACCATTGTGATGTCCAGTACTGGCTGACAAATAGCAATAAGGTGTATTTGTGGAACCCAGGTGTGAACCCAGGATTTGATGTTAGAAGGGGTGATCCTGAGAGTTAATCTTCCATATTTTAACCAAAAAATGATTGTAACTTTACCTATATATTGCATTTTTGTTACTTTTTTAGGGGTGCGTCTGTGTGCAAATAATATTTTCTGTCTTCATTAATTATTCAACCTACAGATCATGCGGACCAGGCCAGCAAAAACAATGAAAAATGCTGTCAGTCCAGTAACATTATCCTGAAAAGAGGACTCACAAGCTATATATTTCGATACTGGTCAAGGACCAGTTACAGTCATCTGCCATTTTATGTAATAACAGAAACGTTTTGTAAATGTATCATACTGCTATTACCCTCACACAATAACTTTAATCTAATTTTTACAAAATTTATCTTGTTTGATCAGATTAAGACAAAAAAATCTTTCACTTTTTTTAACACGTCGTGGGAAGATACGCTTGCGGAGCATGACACAATCACTTTATGATGTCCTCGATTTTGGAGAACTTACCATATTCAGACAAAGTAATATCAAAGGTTGATAAGAATTAAACTAGAGCCTGTGTCACTCACCTGATTCTACTTTGGTTTTGGAAATCATGTAAAAATAGATTAAAATCATAACAGATACCCTTATAATGATTGAAGCCAAATTTGGTTTAATATTGGCCCCGTAATTTAATCAAAAGCAGAAGACTTTTGTAAAGTTTACAGAAATTACCAATAAATTCATTGAAATTGTAGAAAATGACTTTATACAGTCAGGGGACTTACTTAAATGAGTGATTTTCTAAATCACTGATTCAAGTAACATTATGTCCATAAAGGTTGGAAGTAAGAGTTGTCTTTCTTTAATAATCACCTATCTAAGTAGTACAAATTAATCACTGGCGGACTAAGTGATTTAATTTTATTGAAGCTTTAAATATAGAATACCAATGATCCAGGGACTTATTATGTTGCTAAAATTATCAGAACCAACATCTGTGTTTATAGGATGACGGGGTCATGTCAGGTGATGACCTTGTACTGAATCTAGGATAATGACATAAAAATTACTTGTTTAAGTATCATACCTCAATTTCCTTCCAAAAAATCACTTCTTTAAGTATCATTATTTTAATAACCCCCACTAATTTTAACACCCCGAACAGTGAAATTTTGATCGTGAACAGTAGAATTTTATTACATAATCTGTAAGATGAAACCTTGAATTTTACAGGAAAAATACTCCCACTGCTGGGAAAAATCTGTTAAGAAAGTATCAGTTCATTATGTAAAACCATTATTATAGCATTTTTTCAATTAAAATAGAATTTGCAGCTAAATGATTTCATCACAGACATAAACCTTGCTACTTAAAAGAAGCAAAAAGTTCATTTTTTTCAATTTTACTAATGAAAAGATATTATCTAAAACTTTGTGGTTTAAAATTTTGGTAAAACTACAAAATCACAATTTGTGACAAAACTTCGAATTTGCTACTTAAATAAGTGATTTAAAAATCACTGATTTCAATAAGTCCCCTGACTGTTTATAAGGACAATAACTCCAACAAGATGTCAATTGACAATATTACTCATGTTGACTTATGTGTAGATCTTCTTTTCTTGATATTTTTGCAGTTTACAGTAGATCTCAATCTATAAAGATACATATATTAAGGTCTTCATCAGAACCTCATAAGGAACATTTATGCCATGTTTAGTTTCATTCCATTCAGTGCTCCTCTAGAAGAAGCATTTGTATGTATTTCCCATAGGGTCTTATGTTAAACTAAGTCCCCTGCTGGCGGCCATCTTGGATGATGGTTTGGCTACAAAGTAACAACACTTGGTCAGCACCTCATAAGAACATTCATGCCATGTTTGGTTTCATTCTATTCAGTGGTTCTCTAGAAGAAAACATTTGTATGTATTTCCCATAGGGTCCTATGTTAAACTTACTCCCCCTTCTGGCAGCCATCTTGGACGACAAATCAGCTATAAAGTAACAACACTTGGTCAGCACCTCAAAAGATACATTTATACCATGTTTGGTTTCATTCCATTAAGCAGTTTTCTAGAAGAAGACATTTGTATATATTTCCCTTAGGGTCTTTTGTTAAACTAAGTCCCCTGTTGGCAGCCATCTTGGTTGATTGATCGACTACAAAGTAATAACACTTGGCCAGCACCTCATTATGAACATTCATGCCATGTTTGGATTCATTCCATTCAGTGGTTCTCTAAACATGCTAAAAGAAGACATTTGTATGTATTTCCAATAGGGTCCTATGTTAAACAAAGTCACTCTCTGGTGGCCATCATGGATGATGGTTTGCTACAAAGTAACATCACTTGGTCAGCACCTTATAAGGAACATTCATGCCATGTTTGGTTTCATTCCATTCAGTGGTTCTCTAAAAGAAGACATTTGTATGTATTGTCCAGAGGGTCCTATGTTAAACAAAGTCCTGCGCTGGCGGCCATCTTGGATGATGGATCGGCTACAAAGTTACAACACTTGGTCAGCACCTCATAAGGAACATTCATTAACCATGTTTTATTTTACTCCATTCAGTGGTTCTCTAAAAGAAGACATTTGTATGTATTGTCCATAGGGTCCTATGTTAAACGAAGTCCCCAGCTGGCAGCCATCTTGGATGATGGATCGGCTACAATGTAACAACACTTGGTCAGCACCTCATAAGGAACATTAATGCCATGTTTGGTTTCATTCCATTCAGTGGTTCTCTAGAAGTTATCGATGATGACGTACGACGGACAACGACAGACGAAGGACGCCAAGTGATGAGAAAAGCTCACTTGGCACTTTGGGCCAGGTGAGCTAAAAAAGATTATAAATTTGAAAACTAACTTCTTTGCTTCTATTAATTGAATACAGTCATGACAGTGTAACTTGTTGATTTCAAGTAAAATAAATTCATGATCAGTTCAGATTTAGCAAAGGGAAGAAAAGCTTTGGAATTGGCGATGGAAGAACTACATGTTAAGTTCATTTGAAATTCAACCTTCTCTTCTTTCACCACAAAATATCAAAATTTGAAACTTATGTTCAGATTAAGCGAATATTTCTATAATTTAGTAGCTATAGATTCAGAAGTGACGTTAATTGGTTCTTATACTCGTAAAATGTCACCCAAAAACTGCCACTCCAATACCCTGTTTACATTAGTTACAAAAGGATTTGAAGTCCTAATCCATGGTGCTAAAACTAACTTTGGGTAACCTGTTATAAATTAATAGGTCCAAATTGCATTACTGTTACAATAATATTTGAGAAAAACTGTGAATTTCTGACGGTAACTGGTACCAGTAGTATACACAAATTAAAGAAATGTTGCGACAGATTGATGTTTGACTTCACTGACAAGGGCTTGTTTAGTGGGTCAGACGAGGTTTTACTGTCAACAGCGGTCGCTATCCTATATAAAACACCTAGGATAGCGACCGCCACTGAAAGTAAAACCTCGTCTGACCCATTAAACAAGCTCCTGGGGGTTTATACTTCAAAAAGTCTAATATTTGTTGAAGAGGGGACCTAGCTACTAAAGATTTTATTTTGTTTTGGCGACAACGGTTTTGATTTTCTTACATGGCTAAAAGTCTAAGTAAAATCTAATGATTATTTATATTAATTATACCTTTAGATCAAATAACTTTTAAAATTTAATGCATGTTTGACATCAACTGTCTTCATAGGACATCATAAGCGTCATCTCGACGTTGATCTCCACATTGTTTAGTTTTACTTTGTACTTTCGTTTTTACTTTGGTAATACTTGTTTCTGTCATAGGTGTACGCCGAAGTCCGGTGGCATACTGACTGCATACGTGTTACTATCGAGTTACGTCATTGTGCATTACCGATGTAAGCAGTCATTAAATTTTGACAGGCTAGCAAGTGAAACAATATTGCATGCATTAATTTTTAAAGAAATGCGGAAGATACCAGCCTTTTTAGTAGTAAATTTTGTGCAACATAAAATTTGAAAATTAAAACTGTGTAATAAAAAAGAGAATATTGAATCATATTATTTGAAAGTTCTCTAAAATAAAATTATTTTCAAAGAAAAAATCTGCCTAGACAGTTAACTTTTTTGAATAAAAAAGTCAGAAATTTCTAAGGAAACTACGATTGAATTTTTAAATGAAATAAGTTCTATAAAACGACTGTCTGGCATGTTATTTTTGCAAGATTATGAAGTTTAAGCCCTTAATTATGATTAAAAATATCTACTTTTATTATTTTACAAAACGGTTATCATACTATAAAATAACATGTCTATTATATTGCATAGATAAGATCTCAGATCAATATATAATTAAATCAGTCCCAGTAAAGATTGATATATACACATTTATAGAGTAGATTGTTATTTATTTCAATGATAGATGTCTTTACGGTAATCTGTAGGAGTCACAAAAATACTTGCATTCAGTTTTCTTTTTCAAGTGATACTTGGTAAAAAAGATATCACCATCTATCTTCAAAGACCCAAATGTTGGCAAGCACCTGTCCTACCCCCATGACAAATAGGTCATTGTCCCCGTATACAACGACCGAAAACAATATTGTTTTCGATTGTTAATCACATTGACATCTTTATAAAGTAGTTAGGTGTTGACAATTCAAGTGGAAAGCCAACACTCAAATGACACTTAAAAAAGAGAAAATCCTGAACATTCATAGGTCAGATTTATGTTAAAATCAAAGATGATGAACTAGATCTTCCTTCACTATACTGGATACCCAAAATAACATAACTTACATATTCTAGAGGTGGCGTGAATCAGATGTGGATACTAAAAAAATCCAAAGATCTTTTAGAGTACGTACAATCTAAGACTCTTAAGACTTTCATCTTGTAATAGTATTAAAACATTTGACTTTTCTACACTTAATTTACACAAGTATTCCCCATTCCAAACTAAAAGACAAACTGAAAGAGTTGGTCCTGCTTTGTTTCATAAAAAAGAATGGCCAACGTACATGTAGATACAAGTATCTTGTCTTAGAGAGGGATAAATCGTACTTTTTAAAAAAATCACTCTGATTCAAACAAAAAATTCTCTGAAACTGACATTATCAAGATGCTTGATTTCTTGATTGACAACATATTTGTTACGTTTGGAGGACGTATTTTTCAACAAACAATCGGTAGGAACCAACTATGCTACTCTTCTTGCCGACTTGTTCCTTTATTCATATGAGGCTGACTTCATACAGGAACTTCTTCACCGAATGTGACCTACCGAATTAGACTTATTACCGGGTTTGTACTAACATGAGCAACACGGCGGGTGCCACATGTAGAGCAGGATCTGCTTACCATTCCGGAGCACCCGAGATCACCCCAAGTTTTTAGTGGGGTTCGTGTTGCTCAGTCTTTAGTTTTCTATGATATGTTTTGTGTACTGTTGTTTGTCTGTTTTTCTGTTGATCTTTTTCTTTTTTTTTTATGCCATGTCGTTGTCAGTTTATTTTCTACTTATGAAATTGAATATCCCTTTGGTATACTTCGCCTCTCTTTAACAAACAACTTAACATTACTGGGTCTGCCAAATGCTCCATGAAACTTCTCTCCAAATTATTATTACTAGTATCTATTTTATCAGCAATCAAAACCAGGTTTCAGGATTAATGTGAAACGGCCTACTCTAAGGTGGTGTGATGGATATGAATTACTGAGACCTGTTAGAGTACTGAATACAACCAAAGTTCCTCTCTTAATACATTAGTATAAAATACATTCGACTATATATACACTAGTACTCCTCATTCATAACCTATAGACAGATTGAAAGAATTAGTAAAAGTGATTCAAAAACAGAATGGCCAACAAATATCTTGTTGATAAGGAAGGGACAAGTAATACTTCGTAAAAAATACTCTGATTCGAGTAAAAATTTCGCTGAAACTGACTTCAATATAAATGCTGAATTTTCTTGTTCAGAACATATTTTTTACGTTTGGAGGACACATTTTTCAACAGACAATCAACATTTATATTAGAACAAACTGTGTGCTTTCCGACTTTGTTCCTTTATTCCAATGAGACTAACTTCAAACAGAAGCTTCTAGAAATGAAAAGAATCTAGCATCATACTTAAACTTCACTTCCTCGTTATATAGATGATGACCGGCTTTCACAGAATAATTCAAAGTTTGGTGACTATGTTGACTACACATCTATCCAAAAAATGAAAACAACATGTTATAAATTTCATGCGTCCGAAGCGCTTTTCTGGATTTACTGCCTTCATCAGGAACGCTAACTGAAGCCGAGAAATGATCTAAAGATACAGGATACCACAGATACAGTTAAGTCTGCTTCAAATAGACTTACATCTTGAAATAGACAATTAGGGTCGCGCGTTTGAATACTAAACTTTACAACAAAAGAGATGATTTCAGTTTTCTCATTGTGAATTTTTAATTTCTTGGTTGCATCATTCAAGCAGTGCCTGTCTATATTGATTATATACCTCCCAGTCAAGAAGATATTCTAGAGCTTGCAAATCCTAAAATGATTTTTTTGATAGAGGGTTACTGCTTACAATCAAGCCGGAGCGTCTTTTTACCACAGAACACAACAGAATACCACAGAACACCACATAATACCACAGAACACCCAAAATATACCACAGAACTACACAATTTAATACAATAAAACTTCTAAAATAGAACAGAACATTGAATTACTTTACAAAATGCAAAACTAATAATTCAGAATTATATTATTTTTATAATTCGGGCTACACTAATGACAGGACGATTGACCGGATGAGATATAAATTTCTTTAATGATCATAACTTTTTTTGTTATTTAGTAGATCTTTTTTATATTTAGAGAACTTTAAGATACTAAACTATATTTTATAAAAATCTTTTAAAAACAATTTATTGTAAAAAAAGTTTTTCCATAAAAAAAATGATTTTCTATAAATAAATGTTTTTCTAAAAAAAAAAATGCTTTTTCTATAAAAAAATGTTTTTCTATAAAAAAAAATGCTTTTTCTATAATAAAAAGTTGACATGATGAATTTTACCGGCGCCAATTACACTATTAAGATTAAGTTTGTTCTCCCACTTCTGTTAATAAATTTCAAAATAATCAACTATTTACAAAATTGTCAATTGATTGAATTCTAATTGCCATCTGATTATGCAAGGTATAATTCAATTAAATGGTTTATTTCTCCTAAAATCTTGTATGTCATTTGTAAGAAATCCATGTAGGAATAGAAGGAATAGTTGAATAAACAAGGTATTCATCAAATTAGATTGTCAAAAAATAATGCTAATTAACTTCAGGTAAATATCCATAAAACCCAACAAGTTAGTTTTCATCAATGTAACTACTATAGGGGGTTCATGGACCCCCAAAAAAAATTTAAGACCCTCAAGTTATATCATCTTACATAATCTCAAATGACATAATATGACATAATATGACATAAAATGATATAATATAGGGGTCATAAAGAGAAGATGGGGGTCATAAATAAATTATATGAATTAAAACCTCATAATATGTAAAACTTAATGTCATAAGATGGGGGTCATAACAAACTTAATTGAATATGACCCCCAAATTATATTATTATATCTTTATAACACCTGAATTACATAAGATGGTGGTCATACATAAATTAAATATATATCTATTAAATACCTTTAAGAAACCACACACCATGAACTGAAAAAACTTATAATTATCAATCAACATTATAAACATTTATCATACAAAGTTTCCATACATTATCTGATGGGCTTCGAAAGAAAAATGTGAACCTATAGATGTGGGTGTTTTTTGTTACAATATCTAAACTGACAATTGTATAAAATATCACCAACTAGCATAACAGAATGATTAACCTCTCAACAAAACAAATGAAAAATACAATAGTATCAACAACAACAAAAAATAAAAAGGATATGTAATGAAATTAATATATACTTTATTCTCATTAAACACATGTTATTAATTTAAAAAAAAAGATCCAATTAAAATATCCTAGTTTATTCTGTATAATATTATAGTACACATGATATAAAGATGAGACAAAACACCATTCAAGTCACAAAATAAAATTTATACACTTTAAAGTTTAGATAGTTCCTTTATGATCCTAATCCATTTCTTACCCTACGGTAACACAGACGTTCAGTATAAGCGAGAATTTTTACAACTTTATTAAGCAAAACACTAAACTATATGGTATTTGTTAAACATTTAAGAACCATTCCTTTTCTTATACCACGACCAAAATTATATATATTTTTTCAAGTTTCATATGTTTTTTATGTACATTTTGATTTACCCAAAAAGTTATTTAAGTGTGTTATTTCATTAATCAATTAAAGTTCCCTATGAAACTGAAATTGGCACCTCCATTTATTAATCCTTAAACCCCTGAGTGACATGACCATCCAATAACCCCAAATGATTTTTACTTGTCAAAGTTTAAATCTTCTATCATAAAAGGTTTCATCATTATTACACAATTAATGTATTCTAAATTACTAGACCTTAGAAATCTATTCATTTCTATTACCAAAACAAAAAGTTGACCAATCCCTAGATTACTGGAGCATAACCATCAATATCTATTGACAAAATTTTATTTTAAAAGACTATGTACCTAATTATGATATTGTTAATGTTAACTGTTTTAAACTTATTAAAAGAATAAAAACATGTTTAGCACTCTCCGTACATAGTTCGACTGTTACTTTACCTCTTTTCAATGCAATTTTATA